AAACATTTTTAAAAAATTAAAAAAAAAAAAAAAGAATATGAGAGACGGTTTTAATGTTACCCCTTTTCATAGATACTTCTAGGAACTGGGCCTGGTAATCAGGAGAGAAGCATGAACATAAAAATGGTGTCAACATATACCACAACACTCCTGGTGTGGTGCTGTGGGTTAATGCACCAGACTGCGAAGCCATTTGAACTGCAAGGTCTCACCAACTGCTCCTCGGAAATCCTGTATAGGGTCACTATGGGTCAGAATTGACTCGACAGCACTTAACAACAACAACAAACCAGGCACTGTTCTAGTAACTTTACACTCAAGTTTTCCTTGTAATAGACCACTGTGATGAGGAAATGAGGGATGAGGAAAGACAGATACAGATAAATTAAGTAAATACCTAAGGTCACTTATCTTGAGGTAGAGTCAAGATTTGAACCCAGGAAGCCTGGTTCTAGTATCCATGTATATATACAGATCATCAGAGTACATGGAGACTAGTGAGATGAATGATTTGACTATTTTCATGGGTATAGAATAGTGTCCCAATATTCATTTGTGTTTGAGCCTCATTTTAAAAGAAAGACACATTGTCTAGTTTCTTGGAAGGTTCTTTAGTATATTCTTATCAATTTCCCCATTGGTAGTAGTTCAAAACTCAACTAAAAATTTGGGAGCAGGAAGTCCCTTCAAGGTTGTATAGTTAGTTGTTACTCCATTTTTAGAGAGAATCAACTTCAACTTGCCCAGAAATAAAGCTATGATCACCTAACTTCACTTTCTACTTGGCTATGTAGCCACTAGCTCAGCAGCCTACAGGCTAGATGGATGCTCTTTGTTGTTGTTGTTACATGCTGTCGAGTAAGTTCTGACTCCTAGCGACCCCATGTACAACAGAACAAAGCACTGCTGGGTCCTGAGTCATCCTCATAATTACTGCTACGCTTAAGCCCATTGTTTCTGCCACTGTGTCCATCCATCTTGTTGGGGGTCCTCCTCTTTTTCACTGACCCTCCACTTTTCCAAGCATGATGCCCTTCTCCAGGAACTGGTCCTTCCTGGTAACATGTCCAAAGAATGAGAGATGAAGTCTTACTATCCTTTCTTCTTAGGAGCATTCTGGCTATACTGATTTGTTTGTTCTTCTGGCTCTTTAGTAATATCTAAAACCCTGCTGCTATTTATCTACGTTCTCTTTGGGCTAGCAAAAAAGAGGAAGAGCCCCAACGAGATGGATTGGCACAGTGGCAGCAGCAAGAGGCTTAAGCATAGCAACCATCGTGAGGATGGCACAGTACTTCACTCTGCTGTGCATAGGGTATCTATGAGTTGGAACCGACTTGACCCCACCTAACAACAGCAGTGGAATCCTGGTATGGCACTGCAGGATAATGCACTAGACCACTAGGTCAATTTGAATCTAAGGTGGTGGTTCAAAACCATCAGCCACTCCTTGGAAACCCTACATATGGTCACTATGAGTCAGAACTGACTCTACGGCACTTAGCAACAACAGCACTATGTGAAGCATAAATCCATACAATTTTAGTGTACTACCATTTTTCATGTACCTAGAACCAGGTAAAGAAATCTTTGCAAGATCAAGATTTTGTCGTACAGGATTTAAAAATATATATATTTATATGGTGTCTTAGGGCTAATGCATCAGTCTGCAAAGTCAATTGAACTGCAAGATCGGTGTTTCGAGCTCACCAGTTACTCCTTGGAAACCCTATATGGGTGTCACTATGGGTTAGAATTGCCTCAACAGCACTTAACAACAACAACAAATCATGCCTAGCACATTGCCTCAGCAGCTAGCACATAGTGAATACAGTGGTGGTGGTGGTGGTTATGTGCCGTGGAGTCGGTTCTGGCTCATAGTGACACTGTACAGGGTTTCCAAGGCTGTAAATCTTTACAGGAGCTGAAAGCCTCCTCTTTCTCCTGCAGAACAGCCGGTAGTTTTGAACTGCTGACCTTGAGGTTAGCAGCCCAATTCGTAACCACTACGTTACCAGAGCTCCCTAGTGAATACACTACAAGTTCAAAATATAATGATGATGCAGCATCACATTTTATAAGCCTTGGAGAGCCTATAAAGAGTTGCTATGAGTCGGAACGGATTCAAGGCACTTAACAACAACTGTTTATGAAGTTTTTTCACAGATACTGTTTTACTAGCTAACCCTAGGGAGTAGTTAATTTTTAATTTCAGGAATAGAGGACAGTAGGACTATCAAGAGGAAGAGCATGAGTAGAGCATGTATAGGGTTTCCGAGAAGTGACTGGTGAGCTTGGACCATCGACCTTGCAGTTCAAACAGCTTTGCAGTCTGGCACATTAACCCATAGTGCCACACGTTGCCAAGTTGGATGCCTTTAATTTCCCTCTCTGGCTACAACTTCCAACACAGTATTGAATAGGAATGGTGATAAAAGGCATCCTTATCTGGTTCCTGTTTGCAAAGGGAAAGCTTTAAGTTTCTCTTCTTTAGAGTGATGTTGCCTGTTGGTTTTGTATGGTGTTGTTAGGTGCCGTCAAGTCAGTTCCGAGTTTCCGACCTATGGCGACCCTGTATAGGGTTTCCAAAAAGCATCTGGTGAGCTTGAGCTGCCGACCTTGCAGTTCAAACGACTGACTTTGCAGTCAGAGCATTCACCCACAGCACCACACCAGGGTTCCGTTTATTTTTGTATATATGCTCCTAATTATATTGAGGAATTCCCTTCAATTCCTACTTTACGGAGCATTTTTCATCAGGAATGGATGTTGGATTTTGTCACATGCCTTTTCTACATCAACTGAAACAATCATGATGTCCTTGCCTGGTTTTGATATAAAGGTTATGCTTGCTTCATAAAATGTGTTAGCAAGTTTTCCATCCTTTTCTATATTCTGGAATAATTTGAGTGAAATTGGTGACAGCTCTTCTCTGAATGTTTGGTAAAATTCACAATTAAGCCATCTGGGCCTGGACTTCTTTTGGTTGGGAGTAACTTCTGGGTTTGAACTGCCAACATTGTGGTTCACAGTCCAGTGCTGGTCCTGCAGCACCACACTGTTGTTAGGTACCATCGAGTTGGTACCGACCCATAGCAATGTTATGCACAGTAGAATGAAACACTGCCCGATCCTGGGCCAACCTCACTACTGTTGCCACGCTTGTGTCCATCGATGCTGCCACTTGGCCAATCCATCTCATTGGGGGTCTTCCTCTTTTTCTCTGACCCTGCACCT